TCAAATTTCCTCTCAGATGAGACCAGGAAGTGAGCAAAAGCAGGCCTGCTCACACTCACATTAGATGGGAAGAGAAGGAGTACATTAGTATTATATACTACAAAGAATCACGGCGACTTTGTGTAAAATAAATACAGGCACAGGAAATGTGTTTTCTTTGTTTTCTTATGGATGCTTGATAAAGAGCACAACCTGTTACACGGCCCTTGAAAAGAATTTGACAAGCATCTTAAAACAATAAGTATGGTATGTTACTGTGTGTGCAATAAGAACTATTAAAATGAACTAAAACATGTACTAGAATTAAACTACTGGAGGCCGGTAAGTCCAGGTTGTTGGATAATTATGCAGAAATATGCCATTTGGATACATTTGCCTGATGCATACAGACTATCTTCTGTATTAACACTGGTCAAAATTCCTAAAAATACCATAAAGAGGACCTTTACAGATCTTTTTACACAGGTTCTGAACACTTCAACTCCAGCTTGACTTTCAAGAGCTAATAAATGATGGATGTAGTTATGGAAGTGTTAAAGTGTTATGATATAGTCAACTTAACTCCCTATTAACTTAACAGATAGGAATGTGTAAACTTGCTTATTTCTACTAAACTGACAATGTATAAAGCTTACACAAGTCCCATGTTTTCAGATGGACTTCATTGGTATGTGCAGGTCTAAATGTATATAAATATATAAATCCTTCCATCGACTGCTCATTTAAGTCAGGTCTCATATTAGCAAGATAAAAATCTGTATTTATTCAATCATTTTTAGAGGTCTGTAACCTGAGTCAAAAAACACAATGTGAACATTTAGGTTAATTTTTAAACTTCTACAGATATTAAGAGGCCACAAAGCATCCAGGTGCTGTAATCAGATCAACTTAATGAATTTATCATCAGCTGGTCTGTATAATGCGTTCTAACCTGTTTTGAGGTGGAAAAAGACATTATTGCTGCCCATCAAACTGAAAAGGATTCAAATACTATAACTCTCTTGCTTTAAACTATTTTGAGTTCATTATTGAAAAAGATTATTTACAAGGAGAAAATACTTTAATTTCTTTATGTCCATTTATTTTCCCCCAGATAAAGGTGAGGTTTCACCACAGGACAATTAAGTTAATGGTTAGATTTTTAATTTTTCTTTTAAAAGAAAACAATTCATAGCTTGTAAGTGAATGCCACCATCCACTGATGTTTCTATGAAGAAATATAAGTAAAAAATAATCAGCTTGTTCTTTTAACTGTCATCGAAGACCTCAGTCTGAGAAAATGTTGCTTTTTTGCTCAATGTTCTTTCTTTACCTTTTGGTTTCAGCTCCTTTCCAACTCAGTGGTTAAGAAATAAGGAAGGGTTGCAGCTCTTTTCATGCACTTCCAGCTATTTCTACATTTTGTTGGTTTTTTGCTTCAGAAACCAAACACCCAGTGGACAGCATTCATGTCCAAAGAAACTCACCAAACTTTAGCCTGCAGCAGCCGGACTTGTAAAACCATTAAGCCATTATTCTTGCAAAGGCTGCCTTTTCTCCCACAGACAGAACATAAACCCTAATACATGCAGCCCGGAGTCAATTGTAACCACCTTGTTTCTGCCTCAGTTTGCACATATTTATTCTTGTGACAGTTCAAACATAAAACATAAACATATAATCTTCATAATAAGCTGTAGAACTAATTCTTGATGTGATTTTCCCAAACGAGAAGTCAATCTTTGGTTGAAAACCTCTAATAAAGTGCAGTCAGAGGGTCAGAATGCAGCTATGTGAGCACACACTTTGAGTGTGTTTAGCTGCTGGTTTGTGTTGGCCAGAGGTGGGAATAAATTACTGGTCCAATTCCTACTAGAGAATCATCTTGCACTCTGCCAGACAGACAGGGCCTCACACACTTCCTGTGTGTGTGTGTGTGTTCCCCACTTGGCCTAATGCCTCCAGACAGTGACAGAATATCTATGTCAGATTCATTTTTAAGGTACATGGATATGCTGGTGTTTACCACCTTCATTTAGTTAGTATTCAATAATATCATTCTTAAGCCTTTAAAGCCTGATCCAAGAAAAATAGGAAGAATATTGGATTTTTTTAGTCTGAAGTCTTTCTTGGCCCCTCAACAACATATGTAGAAAAAAAAACAGAAATTATTTTGATCAAATTAGCGTGCATTAAGTAAAAAATATATGTTGGTGTAGTCTTACTGGCTGTTATCAGGTATATCTGAATGTGTACAACAGGGGTTTGAGCAAAGCTTTTACCACTGAATGAAGCAAAAAGTCTCAGATCCAAAAGAAACCGGATCAGATATGACACATTTGGCATTGGAAAATAAAATAAAATCATCTAATCCATATTATGTACATATTATTGTTATTATTCATGTTTGCCACAATGTTTTCCACACTTTAAATGGAAGAGTTTGCTTCATCTACAGGCAACATTTACTTTATTCACTTTTACTTTTAACTTAACTTTACCGGCAAACGTTTGTGTGAATCTATGTCTTCAGAATGGGAAGTCAGACCGACCTTAATCTTTTTTCTAGCATCCTATATGAAGCCAGAACACCTACTACGATGGGTTTCATCTTATCTGTTTCTCTCTGCTGTGGAATCTTCTTCATCTCCAGAATCTCTGGATCTCTCTGAGAGCATCCAGCCATAACACGGAGATGCCCACAGAAAGGCCCCGATAAGAGTATTGTGTTTTTCTTTGGCCATGAGTGCACACGTATAGGCACTAAATGCTTATTGCAGAGTTACAAATGCGAACACACTCCCCCACACCCACACACAGCCCTTATTTACCTTTCAAAA